AAAAAAAAAAAAAAAAAAAAAAAAAAAAAAAAAAAAAAAAAAAAAAAAAAAAAAAAAAAAAAAAAAAAAAAAATAACAACAGAAAATAAGATAATAAACCGGTTGGCGATAAACAAGATCTTCGTGAGTTGGTGGTGTATTGGGATTAGTGAGGTTAATGTTATTGAACAAGAAATGACTGATAAACGTTTTTGAAAAGATGAACCAAACGAAGCAAATCCTCAAACCGATTCTGTTCTAGCGAAGGACAGTCCGAAGCCAACTCCTCCTCCTTTGCCCTCAATCCCGTCAGTTTATTCCTATTCTGATCCGGAAAAATCTTCGGTAATTATCGATCAATCAGAAGATAGCATTGAAGAAGCTTTGAAAAGTTTCATGTCAGAAATCAATGCCTTGCCTGTTACATCAATTAATAACGATCCTCTAGTTCCGATTGATGAATTCAAAGAAAGTGAAAAAGAATCAACATCGATTCAAATTTCCAATTTTGATTTTGATTGGGAAAAATATTGGCACAACGAAAATAAATGTCATTATTATTATAATAAAAAGACAGGAGAAACACGATGGGAGCACGAAATACAACATATAAGCTCAGACAGTTCTTTGGCGTCAAGTACTTTCAAAGAAATGAATAATTTGAATTTATATTTGAAAGAATCTAATACTGAAACCGAAATGGATTCTCAAACAAAAACTCTCAAGGATAATTCTACTCAAAAAATGTCTCTTAAAGTTCCTCCATCAGATTCACCATTGCATGGACGCTCACATGATGCTTATAGTAGACTTTCAAACCTTGCACCTGTTGTAATTCATTTGAAGCTTGAAAGGCATCAAATCGAATTTGCTACTAGAATGCATGATTGGCAAATTGGAGCTTTGAATTCTCAATATTTTGAAAAGGTTATTCTTGAAGGATTAGAGAGATTATTGCAAGGAGTCGAAGGTAAATTAATTATATTTAAACAAATTAGATCTTTCTCAATTTTCTGACAGTATATATTATATAAGAACTTTTTCTTTATCGGAATAAAAGAACAACTTTCACCTACTGGATGGGTTTGTAAATGGAAACCCGAAACGCAAGCTTACAATTGGATACATTTACAGACGGTAACTTAGTCCATTTATGATATTTATAATCATCAATTATATATATATATACACATATATTCATGTTTATAATCATATGTATAATTAGAATCAAGTTTCATCAACTTATCCGAGTCAAAGTTTGTATACAAGTCTTAATAATCATTCAACAAACGATGTGTTTTTTAGTAGTCAGATTTTTCTAGCGCTTATGTTGCGTCACAATCGTCAATTACACATTATATTCCTGCTTTATCCGTAGGTCATGAGCAATATCAAATTTCACAAAATATTCATTCCACGTCAACTTCATCTACTTCATCTACACTAAACCTACCACCTTTACCATCTTTACCGCCTCCACCGCCTCCACATCCTGATGCTGTGGGTGATTTGGATGTTAACAAGAAATCTGAATATTCTGAAGATGATGGAATCACTAAATCGTTTGGATCATATAATGTCAGTTATCAGGGAGTACAAATTGCAAGCGAAAAGAAACGGAAAAAGGAAAAAGAGCCTTTGATATCTGGATTCAAGAATAAAAAAATGGTATTTGGTTATTCATACTTATGATATATTATTTATAAAGTTAAATAAATCGATTTATATATTCTTTTTAATTAAATAGGCAACGCTTGTTGAAAAGTGGAAAGCAGCCGAAGATTTTCTTTCCAATACTGATTGGGATGAAGTAAAAAAACATCAACATGGAATTAATTCTTTAGATCCTGAATCTTGGATTAAAGAACAAATAGAATCCGGAGAAGCAGCAAATAATCCTAATTTAGAGCCAATTAAAGGAGATTGGCGTCAAAGAGTTAGAAATAAAAAATCTGATATGGTATAAATTTATAAAAGTTATATCTATTTTTTTATTTTTATGATAATATCTGTTATAAATAGAAGTTTTAAATATATAATCATTTATAAATAATATATATATTGATCATTAATTTCGAACACCTTTATTTCAAATAAAAAGTATAAAAAGTAATCATTTATATCCATGTAATGATGAATAAAAACTTCTAAATTAAGAATTCGAAAAAACAATTAAAACTTCTTGACAAACAAACTTTACAACCAATATGAATGATTCTTTAAAAAAAATAATAATTTCGTGTATTAATAAAAGTCAATAATTCCCATTATAAGTATATATTATATCTTAAAGTTTTAACAAAAACGAGTTTTTTTTCTTTTCCTCTCTTTATATATCTCCAATCTACAATAATCCTTTTACATTCCGTGAAAATAATAATAGTAATAATAGTAAAAAAAAAGGCTTCCCAAACTTTTCTTCACATGCTTTTCTTTACAATTTAAATGACAAATATTACAAAGTAAAAAAAAAAAAATAATGTAATCGAATATATTAGCCTCGAATGTAAAGGGCTTTCTCTGCACCTCCAACCCTCCCTGCGCGACCAGTTTTATCTACGTGATCAAGCCCTAAATAATCATCATTCGATAATCTTTTTTCCGATAAGATTATATCTAGTAAAGATTACATTCAATTAAAAAGACAATATAAATGAAATATAAAGCGAAATCAAAATAAATTTATCCTTACCATCATCCTCGAGATATTCGGGTTTTGAATATGAAGTTCCAGGCACAATTGCAATCCTTACTCTCGCAAAATCCTTTTCGCTCATACCAAGCCGATTTAGAAGACGTCGCTTAGTATCAACGAGAACTTCACCCTGTTTATAACATTAAATAAAAAGCAATATATTATATATCAGGATATCTACATTTTTTCAAAGTCAAAAAATAATAAAATTACATGTTTAATAACAAATTTGAATGGAATCCCATGTGTACGAAGCGGTTCCTTTGTGAAATGATACACTTGGATAGTTCGATCATTGTTGTCTGCAAGAAGTTCATCTTGAGGTATTTCCTATAATTCATATTTTACATGAAAAATAATTAAAACGAAGAATTATACAGTATACGAGTTTTAACGTTAAAATAATTATTTATAAATAATTCACCTCTGCATATAATGTCATAAATTCTTGTATCTTTTCTATTGGTTCAGTTCCTATACATTCTCTTTGAATTCTATGATTCATAACTTCATATAACCTGATTCTAGCATTTGGTGATGATAATGTCACCTTTTTTAAAATCTCTTCCAAGATATCATTAACAACTGCATTTTTTTGAAGACGGATATCGATTTTGTGCTCCTAAGATTAATTTATTAAATTTTTTTAAAACTAACATCAAAATGGAAAATATATGAATAAATAAAAATTGATAAAAAAAAAAATACCTCCTCTTTAACTGTGTTTCCAAGCCAAGTAACTTTAAAGAACTTTTTCGTTTCTAGTTCTACAATACTTATGTCCAACATCTCGTAGAATAAGAGATGAGATGATGGTGTCAAATATGCTTGAAGCATCTCCGAAAGGGTCTGATTGGTAGTTCTTTTAATTACATTCTTTGGTGTACCAGATGTTGAATGTGCAGTGGTAAATCGTAATTTAAGAGGATCCGTGCGCAAATGAGCAGCGACTTGTTCGGCAACCTTTGTTAAAGAATATTAAAAAGGTGTAAATTAATTATAAATTATATTTAACTAATAAGGAGGAATCACATGCCTGATCGTATGTCCACTTTTTATTTAAAACTAAGTCGAATTCGGGTTTTGGATCGCGATCTTTCAATTTTGGCTTGAATGAAACAACAATACGTAAAGTCAATGATTCATAGAATTGAATAATGTTATGAATTCGACCAGCTAATGAATGCTCTTGAATCCTAGGAAAATATTAAAGTTGTCTTAATATGAAATAAAACATAATCGTTTTAATAATTTATAATGCATACTCTTTATCTGTTAACGCCTTTTGAAAAACAATTATATCACCATCTTGTATCTCGGATTGTTGGAAAGTGGATTTGAGTTTCATTTCTTCAATCATGTTTGGTTTGATTTCCTATATTGAAAAACACATATAATAAGTATAAAAGAAATCTATAACATTACAAAACAAATTATAACAATTAATATGCTTGCTTCATAAATTTTCAATTGAGTATCTGGAGGAAACTCTTTTTTTTCACAAAGGATGCGAATATAGTCGACAAGTTTGCCAAACTTTTGTATATATAGATGACCAAGGCCTCTATAAGATAGAATATGTAAATATCACACACATATATATATATATTTATATATACAAGAGCTTCATAATTAACATAAAATTTATCTTACTCTAAAGTTTGTGTGTCAGGATCAAAATATTTGAGAAAAACCATTATGTGATTGTTTCCTTCAATTGGAGGAAACCATGTCTACAGAAGTAATAATTTGTAATATATAATTAAAAATAAAGATATTTGAAAAACTATCATATATGACAATTATATACCTTGCCATTAATTGGTTTATCTGCTACTTCCATATACAACTTTAATTCATTCTGCCGGGAAGCCATCTTTCCATGAATTTCTTCCATACCTATTGCAATGTAAAAATTCAGAAATTTATATATTATAAGAACAATTCCAACCATTATATATATTAATTACAATTAAAAAATACTGACTCGCATTTTCATAAGATTCTGGTATTGGCGCATCAGGTCGAACAGTTTTATTTTGACGATTTACTAGAACCCAAAATCGTATTTGTTCAGGAGGAATACTGAAAGTTCGAGCAATATAGACTTTAAAGGCACCATATGTATCAGTTTTTAGAATCTTATATATATGTACTTCAGAAAGTGGATATTGACGATCATCAAAATTGGCAAGATCAAATCCTTGATGGTTTTTGAAAGTTTCAGCAGTCACGACCTAAAAACGTTCAAATTAATCATGAAACATACATAGAGTATCCCAATTTTTTTTTTTTTTAAAGAAAAAAATTTTTACCTTGACAGGAAGATACAGATGTCTTTCTTCCATTTCTTTTTTCCTTTGTTCTTCTTTGGCTTTTTCCTCGTCCAAACGTCTCTCTGTTAAATAAAATAAATGAGTCATCATCTAATTTCCAAGTTAATTTTATGATATATAAAAAATTGTAATCATGAACGCACGTAAATGTGTAGGTATGTCCTCAAGGATGACAGGAGACAATATCTCGTCAATATCCGATTCACGAATATACACTAACATATAAGCATTAGTGAACCGTTTAAGATTCCTTCCAGTTGGACGAATTGCGGTGATGGGACTTGCATTTGGAGGTTCACCACCATAATTATCCTCAAGTACTTCCCTTTCTATCACAGGTGTAACACGGTCGTCATCAAATTTAAACCTATTAATTATGTAATTAATTAATTGTTTGATTTTATAAATATATACAGAAAAAAAACATTATTTAAATGATTATGACAAACCATTTTCCATCTTTTTCAGGTTTTAATAAAGCAAAGTAATGACCTCCATGTACATCACCACTATGGACTAGTACACTAAATTTACATTAGAGTATAATAAATAAATTCACAATTTGGATAAGTATAAAATTATAACATTTAATGTAAATTATAAACCAACCCGTGTAATAAATATTTATGAGGTTTCGATCTATCTGCATCTTCCGATAAAAATTCATCTAAATCAATTTCCATTGGAAATTCTTGACGATCATTAATCTAATATTATAGAAATTTATAAGAAAAGTTCGATTACAAAATATTCATCAAGCACATTTATATACATTAAATGTATTACCTTAACATTTACTTCCTTTTGTATATCGTATTCAAATCTTTTAAGTTGCAGGTGTAAAACTGGAGGGAAGCTTTCAAATATGACACCTTTTTTAGCATCCTATGTATCATACATACAATAGTTAGAATAACTTATCGTAATAATTGTACAAGGGTGCGCATGAATCATATCATAACTAACCTGCAACCCGTAACCTTCTGCCTGGTATTTATTATCACCTTCTAATGTTTCCTCCTGAACATAATCTTTGAACGAATCTCGTAAAGTTTTGCAACCTCTCACATTAAGTTGAATATCTAACCATAAATTAAATTATAATACTTAATTATCTTGAATAATTTTTAAATTAATAATATTAATAATATAAACGCTTTACGATTACCATAATAATCTTCAACACGAGAAGATTCGTAATCAACGTTGACGCATTTAACATAACTTTTCATCTTTCCAACAAAGAGTTTAGTAATCGCGCCATCGGCTTTTGTGTTCTAAGAATTTTTTTTTTTTTTTAAAAAAATAAAAAAGACAATATAAAGGACCTTTACTGACTAAATTATGCAAGTACGAAAACTTAATTAAGGACGATTGAACAAGCTACCTTCATTTTTCCCTCAAGATTATCTTGTAACACTCTGTTAAATTCTTGTACATCGTGTTGCATAAAAGAATCTAAAGAATCCCATCCAAAAGATTTTGTCAATTCCGTCGTTCCAACAGGAGTATCCGAGGTCTGTAATTGGTAGAAAACTCGTTGTAATGCCAAGGAGACACTTTTTACTGGTTCGTCTTCTTCTGTGGGAATTTGGTAGACTGCCTATAATTACAAATATATCAAAATTTAGAAACTGAAATGGATTATAGATAAAAAAAATTTTTTTATTAAGAATCATAAATGGGACTTACCTTACGGAAAAAAGTCGTACAGAAAAGTGATTGTAGCAACGAATTCATGTAACACGTAGCGCCTTGGTTCTTCAGTCCCACATACCCGGTTTCCTTCTTTGAATCATAACTATATGAAGAGGTTAAACACAACGCCAGAAATATTGAAGGCCATAACAAAAGAGAATATTTGCGGATCAAGTTTCGAATGATAGAAATAAAGGAGGTAATATACTTGATGAAGTTATGCCATAAGACACCTGTAGGATCTTTCAATACTCGTACAAACGCCGTAATATTGGTCGAGTCATTATCAATTAGCGCACGCGTTCGGTTGTCAGAAGGTACAAACAGTTTACGTAGATCGTAAAACCGTGTAAAACCCCAGTCTGATTCTTCGGCAGTGAATCGATGATGCGCATCTAAAATTCAAAAGTAAAGCCACAAAAAAAGCAAAGTAATGTGTATGTAGAGTGTGATTTGCACAATAGCAAAAATTTATGATTAAAATAAAAACCAAAAAAAAAGAATTTCTTATACTTACGGTGAACAATATATTGTGTTGCATCTTCAGGATTCCACAAGACTAAAGCGAATTGAACGCATGAATGCCAACCTAACGGAGCGCCTTTAGGATCAGAAAAGTCAAGATAAATAGAAACAGAATCATGATTGTTATTGCCAAAGGGAAATAGCAAAATTCGCCTATAAATTTGTTAAAAGATAATATTAAAAGATCATTCACTATTTAATTTGTTAAATCAAATTGATAAAAAATTAGAAATTAACATACCATTTCCAACCTCCCGCTTCGAATTCTGGTCCTGTTATCCTCTTTTCCAAACCTCGCCAATTTGAGACGTGCCATGTGCTATATTTAAAGTCTTCAACCTCTTGACCTAATTCAGGCATAATTTTATTTGCCATAGCTTCATCTGCAATATGTGAATAAAATTAGTCAAAGCTCATATAATAAAGAAGGAATACAAATTAACTGCTGAAGATAAATATTTTTGATATTTCTAAACAGTAATTTGCATTAAACAACTAAATAATATTATTTAAAAAAAGTTGTTCTAATCCAAACTTCGACAAAAAAATTAATAAAATTAAATTATCTATATAAATAATAAACATACAATCCGTGACGGGTATGTTATCTTCCACGTCTGACATAGACCTATCATCAATATTTACTGGCTGCTCAACAGAAACGTCCATTTGACTATCGTCCTATGATAATTAATCAATAAAATACACCGAAATCTATTTGTTAGTAATTTCATAGATCACAGATCATAAAATTTATTATATATAACTATGATGCGACAAAGCCAATATGACGCGATTAGCAAGTGTCAAATCTAATTTTTTGTCAAGCTTAATTCTCAAAAAAGCAACAAGCTAAAAAAAAAATAACCCGTATTAAAACCCAACACTAATTCTGTTATTAAAGGCAATCTACAAGATTAGTATGTATACAGATAAAGTTTAACCCATATACCATGCTGAAGTCTGCGGGAATTGTTCGCGTGAGGTAAGACAAGACTACGAGAAAGCAGACGAGCAGGAAGGGTTGTAAAAGATTCTCGGGGATTATGAAGTCAATGTTGATCGATTTGTAGGTTGGAAAAGAGAAATATAAAAGAGTATTGGATTCTTTAAAGATTGAAACTGCAAAAAAAAAAAAATCGTAAAGATTTGCTACACCATGGAACGGTCGAAAGATATTGATTACACCACCACTACTAATAAAGCTACTTGACTGTAGTGTAGTACTAAGTGTAGAAGAAGTAAGTTTATTAGAAGCAAGTTTTTTTTTTATAGACGATTAACTGAACTTTCTAAAAAACGTATTGACTACGTAATCATTTGATCAAAAAACATTATTGGCTGGTAGATATAGATGAAATAATTCAATATATTTAATATAAATACAAAGTATTATATATATAGTATTATATATTTGTAATAATGCGTATTATAATATTACATTAAATTATATGATTTAATAATTATTTAATAATATTTAAATTTATAAAATTACAAATAATTTTTAGTTTTTTAATAAAATATTAATTTAACATTATAAATTAATAAATTATTTAATTTATTATCATATAAATTTTTTGTTTTTTTAATTTAGTTATAGGTCTTTTTTACTATAATTTTATTACTTTTATAAATAATTTTACTAACTTATCTATTTAATTAAATAATTTAGAAAAAATATTTATCATTAAAAATAAATTATAATTATTTAATTAATAATATAATTTTTATATTTGAAATAATATAAAATCAAAATATTAGCAATTAATTTGTTAATTTTTTATTTACTATTACTTGATCTTTTATTATCCTATTAATTGTTTTGCCTACAAATTTATAGGCAATTTTATTTATAAATTAAAATTATTTTAATTATTTTTAAATATTTTAAAATATATTATTAAAAATTAATACTTTTATAATATATTTTATAATATTTTCTAAATAAAAATTAAAAAAAATGTAATTAACTAGAAATTTTTAAAGATAATAAATGATAAATTATTATTAAAAAAATTAAAATTTTAAATTCATAAATTTTGCTATTTATTAATCTTAAAAATATAAAAATACAGTCAACTCTTATTATAACGAACTCTATGTCCTAGACCTCAACTTTGCTATAAAGCTATAGTGAAGAGTTTAAGAAATTTGATTGGCCAATTCACTATAACAAGAGTATTTTTATTATATTTGTTCAAAAAATTCATTATATCAAGTGTTTGCTATATTAAGAGTTGACTGTACTATCATTTAATAAGTCTTAATAAGATAATTTCAATAAACTAAATTTATTTTTAAATAATTATTACATAATATGTTATTTTTCAAAAATTGAAAAATTGAAAAATTAATATACAGTATATTAATAATTAATAATTTAAAAATTTAAAAATATTATTATTAAATATATTTTAATATGATAATTCTAATAAACTTTATTTTATTATTTTATAATTATTAAATGTTAAAATATTTTAAGTTTTCTAAAATAATTTATAATAATTTTATATTTACAATTTAAGGAATAATATTTAAATTGATAAAGTTTACATTATTTAATTATTAAATATTAAAATTAGACTCAAAAAATATATATATATAAGTAAAATAATCAAAAAATATTTTAATATAAGTTTTATATAAAAGATTTTATATAAATAATATATATAGACGTTTTGTAGTAGAAAGGGAGAAAACTACCAAAAAAATTTTTTTAAATTAATGTTAAATCTGAATTTATTTATTAAAAAAATAATATTTAGTTTAGAAAGTAAAAAAAATTTTTAGTAATTTTCTCTTTTTCTACTGTAAAGCATTTATATAATTAACATTTAATATTAAAAATTCTATGAAATTACATAAATAAAAATTTTAATTAATTACTAATATTGATATTATAATTTAATTGCAGATTAATTATATAATTATAAATAGATCTTTTTAAAATTTTTATTTTATATATTTTATTTTTAGAATATTATTATTTTTTTTATTAAAAAATTAAACTTACTTTTGTAAGATAGTCTAGAACTTTACTCTTCATACAATATTTAATTATTATAATTATATATTTATTTAAAAAAGAATAAAATTCTACATAATATAATATAATTATAATTTTATTTATTATATAAATTATTGCTTTTATATAACTTTTAAAAATACAATAAAATCAAAAAAATTTTAAAAACTTTATTTAAAAAATTAATTATAATAAAACAAAATAATAATTTTAAAAATATTTTATTTAATACTTTTTTATAAATATAATAATTTTACAATATATATTTATTTTGATATTTAATAAATATATAAATAAATAGTTAAATAATATAAAGTTAACTTTAATTTAGAATTTTGTGTTTTCTTATTTATATTTTATAAATTTTTATATTATACTTTATATTTAATAAAGATATACAAAATTATTATATTTTAAAATTAAAAAAAAAGTCAAAGAGATTAGCATTTCTAGTTCAATTAATATTAATTGAGCTTAAAGATGATGCTACAACTGATTACAACTGATAACAAATAAGCATCACAGGGTTGCAACTAGTTGCAACATTAATAAAAATTGAGTTGCAACTAGTTGCAACCAGTGACAAATAAGTATCACATGATTGTAACTAGTTGCAGCACCATCTTTAATTGAGCTCTTATTATGAATTATACTATAGATCTTTAAATAGATTAGTTTAGATTAGGTCAATTAAATTACTTAAACTGAAAGAATCAGATCAAGTTAAATAAAAATCTGACCTAATTTTAATTTTTATTTAACTTGACCTAGTAGAATACCATCATATAATATAATTATATTATATGATGGTATTTCACTTGCTTTAGATTATATTACCACCATATAATTTAGGTATCACTATATAAACTAAATACTACTATATAATATGGATACTACCATATGATCTAAATATCACTATATAATCTGAGTACCACTATATAATCTAAATAATATAATCTAATTATTACTATATAATTTAAATAACATAATCTAATTATCACTATATAATCTATTCATTTTCACGTATCAAGTATCTTTTTTATACTTTAGCTATTCTTTTAAATCTTTCTTGTTATCTGTATTTTTTATCACCATATAATCTAATTACTACCTATCATTTAATCTAACTACCATTATATAATCTAAATACCACGCTTTTCTTCTTATTTCTGAGTTATTTACATACTAAATTCTATAATGAGATTGTCGACCTTCTGTAGTTGTTTAAATATCTGATTTTATGTCAAGATGCTGACCTCTTATACCTGATTGAGTGTTAAATTCTATATTGGAATGCTTACCCTTTGCGTTTATTTGGTTGTCTTTCTAGATACTAAAATAGTATAAAAAAAATAACAGATAACACAGTAAATTCAATGTAAATCTGCATTTAAATTTGGCCAGCATTATGGCATAATTCAGACTGATCTTTAGGGCATATGATTTGAAAGATCCAAGCTGACACTATAGTAGTGACTTGATAGTATTCTGGAGTTGTCATAGAACTAACAGAGAACCTGAGTGTTTCTATTAGTTTATCAGTTTTAGGTCAGCTTAGATGCTGAATTATTATGTTCAAAGATCTGGCTGAATTTATATGCTGGTCGATTTTATACTGTGCCTTACTGTGCCAGTCATGTGATTCTATTACAGTATTGAACACCTTTTCATAATTACAAAATAGTGATGAGAATATTTTAGAATATTTCTGAAACTCGCATAAAAATAATGGTCATGCTTTTTTCAAAACTAGTAAAGAAGATTTTGAATGATATAGTTTAGAAGTTGGTCCTGCTATAACAGGATGATAAATCAAATTAGATGGCTTACACAATATCACTAGTTAAGTTTAATTCTACTTTTTAACTATTTATTTACCATCAGAAACAGAGACTGAGGTATTATGGCTGACCTATTTGATTGCCAGAAGTGAATCATTTCACAATCCAACTATTGCCTATTAATTGCTGGTATATGTATGCCGATTTCATATTCCAAAGTTAGAAGTGCATTATGTATTATTATGGCCAGTCCAAAAAAAGTACACTATCTTATAACCTTACTATTGCTTATTTGTTGCTAGTGTAATTATACCAATTTTATGTCTTAAGATTCAAATTATTAGAATACATTTATAATATAATTTTGAAACCTTCTTTAGCATAGTAGGATGTAAAAATAGGATGAATTTTTGTTATTCCTAACTATCACTAGTATCACCAGTTAGTATTCAGAATTAGTAACAGAATTAGTGACGGGTTTGCTATCTTTCTTGAGATTATTTTATTTCTTTCTTGATTAGTGTCATTAGTGTTATTAGTAAAAAATAGTAATTTTTAGGAAAAAAATCAAAAATTTTCTATATCCAGTCTATATGGGATATAATATGATAAATCTATAATATATGTGTGATGTATCTATGTATACTAAAAAATAAAAAAAAAGTTAAAACACTCAGATTTTTTTTAGTAACAGTAGTGATACCAGTGACACTCATCAAGAAAATTTTCTTTAGGCTTAAAATTCCTAAAGAGCTTATCGTCTGCATTACTAGTTTTGTCACGAGCTTTTTTTCTGTAACATTAGTAATAAGTTGTATTATTTTTTATTTACCTCTAAATTACTTACCAGTATCTGCGTCGAA